TTCCAGACCTTCCTAACTATTAGGAAGAACGTGGGTTTAGGACAAACTGAAGGGCTCCTTTAGTTGGTGAAGGGCCAACTCTAGCTCTGTGGTTGTTGTTTCATTGTAAGTGATGAATGAAAATATGCTTATTGAAAAAAAGTATCAATATACCTGGACATGTTAGAAATATACATGTATTTGTATACATATAGAATGTAGGTAATATATAACGTATGCTTATTGTGAATACATATCAGTATCTACATATGTATGTGTGTGGATTTATAAAACAATGTAGACAGTCACAGAAAAACAAGTGAAAATACTTCTTTACACCCCATTCTTCCCATTCCCCAAAGGCACTTTTGGGGAATGTCCTTGTAGACATTTTTCTGTTCATTTGCATAATAAAAATGCCTATATATTCATAAACTTATGGTTAATTTTTTCTTTCCATAAAAAGGATTATGTAAATATCCAGTGACTTGGTTTATTCACAAAAATCAAAGAATCTTTTATTCTTTTTCATTCTTTTTAACCTTGACAGAATATTCCACTGTGGGTGTTACATTCTGTTCTACTGATAAAAGATATTTAGGTCATTTCCCTTTTTTGTGTTATTATATTATATACAGTGCTGCACCCACTCCAGTACTCTTGCCTGGAAAATCCCATGGATGGAGGAGCCTGGTGGGCTGCAGTCCATAGGGTTGCTAAGAGTCAGACACGACTGAGCGACCTCACTTTCACTTTTCACTTTCATGCATTGGAGAAGGAAATGGCAACCACCCACTCCAGTGTTCTTGCCTGGAGAATCCCAGGGATGGGGGAGCCTGATGGGCTGCCGTCTGTGGGGTTGCACAGAGTCGGACACAACTGAAGCGACGTAGCAGCAGCAGCTGCATACAGTGCTGCAGTGAATCTCTTTGGCCATATGTCTTGGTGATGGGAATTGATATTTTTGTTGAATAGATTCCAAGAGCTAGAATAATAGGGGTCATGAATAAAGTACATGTAACATTTTGGTGGTGATTGGCAAATACTCCTTCCCAAAAGTCCTTTTAACTTCCTCTCTCACCTGAAATGTAGGAAAATGTAGGTTTCAAACCCTGGCCAATACTGATATTATTGTTAAAATGTGGATTTCTAATCTGGTAGGATGGAGGTAATCCTATCCTATTGTTTCATTTGTTTTTTTTTTTTTTTAACTGAAAAAAGAGTCAACTTTAATTGTAACTGACCAGCCTGTACCCAGGAATGTCTCTGAATAATCATTTGTATTTTTAAAGTATGTATAATATTGAACATTTTTTTGTATGTTTATTGCCCTGGTTTTTATTTTTCTATAATTAGCCTGCTCATATCCTTTTTAATTTTTCAATTTTAGGAGATTTGTGCACTTTGAATATTAAATAGTTTGTTATATATGTTGTAAATATTTTCTTCTCAGTGGATTGCTTATCTTATACCTTTGTTTATAACATGTTTGCCAAAGGGAAGCTTTAACTATTAGGAAAATTTGTAGAAGTAGTTAGGGAATTTAAGTTGATTTAGACTGGTGGTTGAACCCTGTTTTAGCTATTGTTCAAATGTATGCATTTATATTATATGATGATTAATAAGAAGTTAAATGATTCATTGTTGTTGTTGTTCAGTTGCCAAGTCATGTTCAACTCTCTGCAACCCTATGAACTGCAGCACACCAGGCGTCCCTGTCCTTCATTATCTCCTTGAGCTTGCTCAGATTTATGTCCATTGAGTCAGTGATGCCATCCAACTGTCTTATTGTCTATCATCCTCTTCTCCTCTTGCCCTCAATACCCAGCATCAGGATCTTTTCCAGTGTATCGGCTCTTCACATCAAGTGGCCAAAGTATTGGAGCTTCGGCTTCAGCATCAGTCCTTCCAGTGAATATTCAGGGTTGATTTCCTTTAGGATTGACTGATTGTATCTCATTGCTGTACAAGACACTCTCAAGAGTCTTCTCCAACACCACAGTTCAAAAAACATCAATTCTTCAGCGCTCAGCATTCTTTATGGTCCAACTCTCACATCCATACATGACTACTGGAAAAACCATAGCTTTGACTATACAGACCTTTGTCGGTAAAGTGATGTCTCTGCTTTTTAATATGCTGTTTAGGTTGTGTCAGCTTTTCTTCTAAGGAGCAAGCATCTTTTAATTTCACGGCTGCAGTCACCATCCACAGTGATTTTGGAGCCCAAGAAAATAAAGTCTGTCACTGTGATTGTTTCCCCATCTATATCCCATGAAGTGATGGGACCAGATGCCATGATCTTAGCTTTTGAATGTTGAGTTTTAAGCCAGCTTTTTCACTCTCCTCTTTCACCTTCATCAAGAGGCTCTTTAATTCCTGTTCACTTTCTGCCATTAAAGTGGTATCATTTGCATGTCTAAGGTTGGTGATATTTCCCCTGGCAATCTTGATTCCAGCCAGTGATTCATCCAGCCTGGCATTTCGAATGATGTACTCAAAATATAAGTTCAATAATCAGGGTGACAATATGCAGCCTTGACATACTCCTTCCCCAATTTGGAACCAGTCTGTTGTTCCATGTCCAGTACTAACTGTTGTTTCTTGACCTGCATACACATTTCTCAGGAGGCAGGTAAGGTGGTCTGGCATTTCCATCTTTTTAAGAATTTTCGACAGTTTGTGGTGATACACACAAAGGTTTTAGTGTAGTCAGTGAAGCAGAAGTAGATTTTTTTGGAATTCCCTTACTTTTTCTATGATCCAGTGGATGTTGGCGATTTGATCTCTGGTTCTTCTGACTTCTCTAATTCCAACTTTTACATCTGGAAGTTCTCAGTTCACATACTGTTTGAAGCCTAGCTTGAAGGATTTTGAGCATAATCTTGCTAGCATGTGAAATGTGTGCAATTGTGTGGTAATTTGAACATTTTTGGGCATTGCCTTTCTTGAGATTGGAATGAAAACTGACCTTTTCCAGTCCTGTGGCCACTACTGATTTGCTGACATATTGAGTCAAGCACTTTAACAGCATCATCTTTTATGATTTTATATAGTTCAACTGGAATTCAATCACCTCTACTAACTTTATTGTAGTAATGGTTCCTAAGGCTCATTTGACTTCACACTCCAGGATGTCTGGCTGTAGGTGAGTACCAGAGTGATTATCTGGGTCATTAGGAACATTTTGTATACAGTTCTTCTGTGTATTCTTACTACCTCTTCTTCATATCCTCTTAATGATTCATGGGCACACCTGTTTCCACATATTTGCTCAGTTGGTGATGCTAAAAATACAACGATTATTATTGTAGGTAGTTCCAAATTGAGAACTCTTTGAAAGATTGAGTACTACTAACCTAAGAGATGGACTTACATCTGCTTATAAATAATGGATAAAATGTATAAACCAGCACTCATTTGGTTGAAAGGAACAGAAGCCCAAGTCAGACGAGCTTAAATAATAAGTAGACTTTCTCGACTTACAAAACTGGGACATCGAATGGGCACTTCAGCCACATCTGGACCCAGGGCCCAGAGGATGGATGTCCTCAGATCTTCCTTCCTCTTTGTCTCTGATAACTCTCCTCATTTGTTGCTCTGGCCACTTCAGGCAGAGGCTGTCCATGGAGGGACAAATGACTGGGACAGCTCTGGGTTTCTGTTCTTAGATATCAGTGTCCAGGAGAAAAGGAGTCCCCTCCTCTTGTCCGTATTATACTTGACATTGTGATTGGCAGTTCAGCTGAACCACATGGCAGGGAAGGAGTGGTTTCCCCAACAGAAAGAGGGTTGCTGGCTGGACGAGCAAAACAGACTGCAGTGTCCATCCATGACAGCCAGCAGATGGGGGTGGGGGAGAATCTGGCCTGAGGACAGATAGGTGAGCTTGAGATGTCTTCCCTCCAGCACATACACCTTGGGCAGTTGCCTCAGCCTTGCCTTGTGTCTGTGGTTCTCTTCACTGTAAAATAGCCTCTTGAGAATTAATGAGCAGCTATCCATGCTTGGACTCAGAGGGCCCCAGAGTGCAAGGCAGATGGTATTAAATGAGATATGACAGACACATGTCTAGCACTTCATAGGCACTCGGTAGATAATGGCTTTCTGCCTTAGTATTTACCAGAATTCAAAGGGTGTTCAGAATAAAGTAATCAGATTGCATGAAGTTAATAAGTTCTTCCTTCACCACTGTGGGTGAGGCCCCCTCTCTCTGGGTGACCCACCTGGCGTCACATAGATCATTATTGACAAGGGGAGGGTGAGGGTGTTGAGAAAGAGGCAGGGCTTGGAGGGGACTCAAGGCTTCTCTGGTAGTCCAGTGGTTCAGAATCCATCTTCCAGTGCAGGAGACACGGGTTCAATCCCTCGTCAGGAACTAAGATCCCATATGCCACAGAGCAACTAAGCCCATTTGCCAAAACTAGGGAGTCTGCGCACTGCTATGAAGATCCCATGTGCTACAACTAAGACCCAATACAGCCAAATAAATAAGTATTTTTTAAAGATGTTTATATATAATTATGGGCTTCCGAGGTGGCTCAGTGGGTAAAGAACCTGCCTGCAGTGCAGGAGACGCCGGAGGTATGGGTTTGATTCCTGGGTCGGGAAGATCCCTTGGCGGAGAGCTCAGCAACCCACTCCAGTACTCTTGCCTGGAGAATCCCATGGACAGAGGAGCCTGGCGGGCTCCAGGCCCTAGGTTGCAAAGAGTTGGACATGACTGAAATGACCGAGGACAGCACACATACATAATTATGCCTGACTTGTGTTGTTGTATGGCAGAAAATGACACAACATTGTAAAGCAGTTTTCCTTCAATTAAAAAATAAATTAAAAAAACATTTTTAAAAGAGTTCTTGAATGGGAAGCCGACATTTTGCTATTGATGCATTGAAGTCCAGCCTAATTCTGAGAGAGAGGTGAATTCCAGTGAAAATCCAGCTGCCCTCTGGGGTCCTCTAGCTGGCATGTGCCCTCCATGATCACACATTTCCTGACCTACTTTGCTTTCCCTGCAGTCCACCTGATCCCAGTGTCGGCAACCAAGAATGGAGTGACCAGCAAGAATCGAAAGAGAATCATGCCTGACCCGGCAACGGAGCCCCCCGTGATGGACCCGGTATATGAAGCCCTTTTGTACTGCAACATTCCAGGTGTGGCTGAGCGAAGCATGGAAGGTAAGCCAGCTATGCAGCCCGACATGGTAGCATCTTCACACAGCATTTAAGGAGCTAGACAGCCAGGGCTCCAGTCCTGCAGTCGCCACTGGGTTGTGCCCTTGAATGAGTTCCCAGGTCTTAGTTTCTTCATCTGTAAAATGGGCATAACATGCCATCCCTGCTCACAGGGCTGCTGGGAAGAATAAGTAACTGCTTTGAGCAGCATGAGGCGCATGAGAAGGCCTCCACAGTTGTTTGCTGTCATCCTGATTTCCAGTGAGAATGAGCAGAGAGGTGGCCTTGAAGGGCTTTAGGGGGTCACCCTCAGCTCAACCCTTTCCCAGACGGGCTCTCTCAGGGCTTAGGACTCCCACATCATACCCCGCTGGTGTCTGGCATTAAAGGTGTAGGAAAATGTGATTTCTCTGTTGACTTTTGCTTTTCTGAAAGTATATCAAAGAAGATGTTGAGTAGTTATCTCTTTCTGCCCAGTCTTATTTCACAAGAGAAAGACTTAAAGCAAAAGTCATGGTTTCCAGTACTTCCATGGGCCTCCCTCTAGTCTGTGGATGTGAGTGAGGCTACCTGAGCAGTCTTGACCCCATTTCACTGGTCTCCAGCCACACCCCAAAGCCTCCCTGTGAGTGCTGGGACTCTGGGGCATAAGCAGCCTTCTCACGTTCCTCTGCCCTTCCTTGTGAGGTAGTCAGAGGGCCCCCCTCACTCCATCCCAGCATGGCACCCTTCCACCATGGTCACCCCTCCCGGCCTCTGCGAGCTGAAAGGATAAACTATTCCTGAGTGACAACCAGGCAACGCACTTTTCTCACGCAGGCCATGCTCCGCATCATTTTAAGCTGGTCTCTGTGCACGTGTTCATTCGACACGGGGACAGGTACCCCCTGTACGCCATTCCCAAAACGAAGCGCCCGGAAATTGACTGCACTCTGGTGGCTAACAGGTAAATCGCACTTTTCTTAAAAGTTATTGAAAAGAATCTCTTTTCAGAGCAAAAGGGTGACTGGAAAACTATTCAAAACAGGATGACAGGATGGGGGAGTGGCCTGCACACATCCAGTGAGTACTGTTTGCCAGGATTTGGATCTTCAGAACAATCCTGCAGGTTAATCCCATCTCACAGTTGAGAGGACAGAGGCCCAGAGAGCTGAGGACACCTGTCTGAGGCCACACAGCAGATAAACTGAGATTTGAGTCCTGGCCAGTCTGCTATCTACAGTCTCCCTCCCTGCTGTTGTTTAGTTTAAGAAACAGTTGAGACATGGTAGAGTGAGCACTGGGCCAGGAGTCCTCAGACCCTGGCGTGGCTGTTCCATTCAGGGCTGCAGGTAAGTCCCTTAGTCTCTCAGCCTTCTGTTTCTGAAATGGGGATGATGCTGCTGACCATGCAGAGTTGGGGTGAGGAGTAAGTGGGATGAGAAGGCTGAACATCACCAGCTGCAGAGTCACTTACAGGGAAGGCATTATGTCAGGCTTTTCATTCTTCACAGGAGGAGAGACAACCTGCTCTTGGGTGACAGCCTTTAGGATGAAAAATACTTGAAAAGAGGGTAGAAGTGTGCATGTGGAAATGGCATGGTTCTAAAGTGAGAGGCACGGTTAGCAGCAAAGTGATGGGCCGGGCCTCAGCAGGTGTGTTGGGGGCTCATTATCTCCCAGGCAGAGTTTGCTGAATGAGGGGAGGAGACAGGGAAGCACTCTGTGGGGAAGATGTTATGGTGATGGAATGCTGTGGGTGGAACCATTGCCTCCCAGCAACCAGGGCTGTCCATTCACAGTGGACTGCAGTGTGAACCCGGGAGTTCCAGGTTAACCCTTTGCATCTCAGCCTTCCTATTGTCTAATATCATGGGGAAGATGAAGTGAACCATTTTATGTAAAAACATCATGGAATACCACATGACTCTAGGCTTTCATTTCCTGCTTGAGGTCACAAAGCTCGAGGCCTAGGAATTTGTGTCGTCTTTTCTGTGTTCAACAAGCATGATGTATGTCCTCATGTCCCATAGCCTGGAAAACCTCCTAGGTGGAGTCCAGCCCGTGTGTAGTCAATGGCTTTCTTCCTCATCTCTGGCCCTCTGTGCAGCCTTTCTGCTGGGACCCTCTGCCCCTGCCCACCACTGCCTGCCGGCTCTTCACCCTTCAGGCCTTTGTACCTGTTGTTCGGCTTGCTGGTCCTCTCCTATAGCTCCTCCAAGACCCTCTGAGATGGCACCCCTTCCAGGAAACCTCTCCCACTGTGTTCGGAGGGCTTCTCTGTTTCAGGCACCACCGTTGTCTCACTCAACCTGAAAAGGGGGATGTACAGGAAGGGCCTCAGAACAAAATATTTAATGACCAGACCTTAACCAGCCTTATGATTAGGGCAGGGATAGAGGCCATGTACTGTGCTGGGTGTTAACCCTCTAGTTTCTGGGCTGGAGCATCCAGGGTGACGGGAGGGCGACTACGGGAAGTGGCTTCTCTCCTTCGGCAGAGCAGAGGTTCAGTGTGTTAACAGCTGACTCAGTCTTGTCATTGTACAGGACTTTGAACAACCCAGAGACAGATGGACCACTGGGCCTCTGAGGTGGCTGGACCCAGATCAGCCTCAAAGGCTTTGTGGGAGGTACCCTGCTCCAGTGGGCAGCTCTTAGCTTCTGCTTGCCTTTCTCTGGGCTTAAAATTCTCAGATGGGACAATGGGTCTGCCCCCAGGCCAATCAGCTGATGCTGGAAGGCCCCTGGGCACCCTGAGGGCTCTGGGGGCCACCTGGCTGTTCTCAGGGAAGGAACCCACTTGGCGGGGCTGCTGGGCATCAGACTTGCCTCCTCCCTACCAGCAGGCTCTCCTCCCAGCATCTTTGTTTTGTTTCTGTCCTCCCACACCACTGACTCTGCAGGGCATTGGGTCTTACTCCTTCTGTATCTCTGGTGCCCAGCCCGAGCCTGGTTGTTGGACTGGATTGGTTGTAGAATGAATTCAGGAGCCCAGTGAGAATCACAGGTCATCATTGCCTCTCATGAGTCTATCATAGTAGATTTGAGTCTCGGCTGTAAAATCCTTGTGAGGTCTAACTGCAGTGATGGAGTAAAGCGCAGAACCTTGTCCCTGCTGAGAATTTGAGCAATGGTGTTTCATTCACTGAAGCAGCCTGGAGTCTCCCAGGCCTGGCCTTTTTTCCTCTCTGAGTGGTTGCGGTCACAAGACCAGGTCAGGTCCCAGGGCCCCTCATTCTGCCACAGCAATGGCAGGACCCCATGACGAGGCCACTTCTGTGGCTCCCACCTGAGAGGCGCAGTTCCCAGGAACCAGCTGCCCCAGCCACCTCTGTGTCATTTCCTTTGGTCTTGACTTTTTGGCCTTGTTCTACTATTTTAGTCCACATTCTGTATTTTTAGGAGCTACTTTCAGTCTTTTCTAGAAAGTGGATAGAATGTGTGCGGTGTGTATGCTTAGTCACTTAGTCATGTCCAACTCTGGGTGACCACCAGGCTCCTCTGTCCGTGGGGTTTCCCAGGCAAGAATACTGGAGTGGGTTGCCATTTCCTTCTACAGGGGATCTTCCTGACCCAGGAATTGAACCTGAATCTCTTGTGTCTCGAACATTGCAGGCAGACTCTTTACCCACTGAGCCATCAGGGAAGGTCTATTTTAGTCCATATTCCATATTTTTAGGAGCTACTTTCAATCTTTTCTAGAACGTGGGTAGAATATACATGTTTAATTAATTAATGGCATTTAATGAATTCCATCTTTTATAACAATAAATGTTGACTTGTCATTAGGAACACACATTTCGCATAAGAGTGAGGAGGTGTTCCAGCAAAGGGGGCCCAGTCTGGGTCTCTTTGTCCTCTGGGACTGTGGATCTGGGTCATCAGCTGGGCCTGTTGCGTTCCCAGGTGCCAGTTCATCTTCACGAGTTATTAATTATAGCCTCCTCTGAGGCAGAGCATTCTAAAGTGCACCCATTACTCCCATCTGGTGAAGGAGACTTCTGGGCTGGCAGGTGGGGGTGCACCAAGCTGACAGCAGCAGGAGCCAGACACCCCAATGTTTCCCTTTACAAGGACACCTCCCGTGACTCTCAGAGTCTTTATGGTGGAAGCTGCCTCTTCATGAGTAGTTGTGGGGCTCAGGAACATTGTCCTGCAGGGAGGTGGAGGTTGATTTGAGAGTTCAGCATGTAAACGGTAGCTGAAGCTGTGGGCTTGAATGGTGTCACACACAGAGCCTGTGGAGTGAGGAACGGGCCAAAAATAGAGCCCTAGGAGCACCAGCCAATTATAGCACTGAGAGAAAGAAGCGTCCCTGAAGGAGATAGAGAAATTGCAAACAGGAAGAAGGCAAGAGAGCAATGTTATAAGAGCTGAGGAAGGAGAGTTTCAGGAAGGGGGAGTGGGGAGGGTAATCACATCAAATAGAGCAAAAAAGCCCAGAAAACCAAAGACTGATAAAAGTATATTAAGTTTATCTTTTTTTAGCATTTTACTTCATTAATAACATAAAATAATAAATTATTTAATTGACATAAACTATAAAAATCTGTGGCATGAACTTGTTCTGGTTTCCAGCCATGCAAGCATTTTTGAATTGCTTTTTTGAATAACAGTGTCACTGGTCTTATACCTCTCTCTGCTTGTCTTATTAGTCTGTGCAGAACTCAGTGATTGCTCAAATGATGGCTAAAGCACAATACATTTTCTTATATACATGTGGATTAGCCTTAGAGCTTCTGTCTAGAGCTTTGTGTAATAAATAGCTGTGAAAATGTATATAAAATGTAAATAAGAACTCCGAAGCAAATAGTTTGAAGGCTTAAGATGGTAGCACTGCTCGCTCTTTCTATTTTCAGTGTGAAAGTAGATTTCCAGTGAGAATACAATAACATGGGTGTTTCCTGAAGAAAAATTCATCATCACAGATACAGTCATTTTTGTGCATGCTGTTATAATAAAGAGAACCAAGGAGAATTCTCTGATGGGCCAGTGGTTAGGACTCTGCTTTCACTGCCATGGGCCCAGGTTCAGTCCCTGGTCAGATAACTAAGATCCTGCAAGCTGTGTAGCATGGCCAAAAAATAAAACAGTAAGTCCTCTACATATGAACCTTTAAGTTTCAAATTTTTGAAGACATGAACATGTGTTCACATGTCCAAACATGTAAGTTCGTTCACTGCCGTACATTGTCATGTGTGTGCAGCCTATACAAGTGTTGTGCTTTTGTGTACTTTACAGTACTATATAGAGTACAGTAGTATAGTAGCTTTATTTCAAGCCCAGGATGTCTGGAAGCAAGAGTAAAAGCAGTGGTGATGTAGCTGATACTATCTTACTTTTCAAGGTACTGTATGGTAAGATTAAAAGTCTTTATTTTTTGCATTTGTTTTTATGTATTATTTGTGTGAAAAGTATTATAAACCTATTGCAGTACACTACTATATAGCTGATTGTGTTAGTTGACTTCTTAAGCTAACTTTGTTGGGCTTATGAATGTGCTGTCAGAATAGAACTCATTCGTATGTAGGGGACTTGCTATGTAAATGTAAAGGGGAACCAAGAATGCTTTGCCTAAATAACAGAAGTTTATCTCTTGCATGAAGGTCTGAGATGAGTATTCCAGGTTGTATAATTTTACTTTACTTGATCATCCAGGGCCCCAGGTTCCTTCCAGGTTGTTGCTCCCACCATGCCCTAGGGATGTGTATTTGACTGAACTTAGGTTGCCAGGGTGCCTGAATCATGGCCAGAGGGAAGGAAGAGAGTGTGGAGGGGGCACACCCGTGATCTGAAAGCCTAAACACAGATTGGCATACATCCTTCCATTCCACTGGCACATACTTAGTCATGTGACTCTATTTACTGCTGCTGCTGCTGCTAAGTGGCTTCAGTCGTGTCCAACTCTGTGCGACCCCATAGACGGCAGCCCACCAGGCTCCCCTGTCCCTGGGATTCTCCAGACAAGAACACTGGAGTGGGTTGCCATTTCCTTCTCCAATGCATGCAAGTGAAAAGTGAAAGTGAAGTCGCTCAGGCCTATCTGACTCTTAGCGACCCCATGGACGGCAGCCTACCAGGCTCCTCCGTCCATGAGATTTTCCAGGCAAGAGTACTGGAGTGGGGTGCCATTGCCTTCTCTGCTACTTACTGCTAGGATCTCAAAAATGGGACCTAACAAAGTTCCCAAGAAGCAGAGGATAGTTTTTAGTATCTAACTGTTAAAGAAAAACCAGAGCTGAAGAGTAGATAAAGCTGTAAAAACAGATCTTATTGAGGAGTTAATGCAGTAGGGACAGAACTGAACTCAATTCCAGATAGAGCATAGACAAGTGGGGCTTTTTAGCCAAGGAGCAGAGTTGGGGTCAGTCGAGGGAGAGTTACTATGAGGACACATCGGGGTGAGGGGATTCTAGTTAACTGACTCAACAGGATTCTTGATGAAAGCAGACCCAGGTGATCAGATACTACTGGGGTTGAGGAATTTGATCAGGTAGCAAGGGTGATCAGATACCAAGAGTGGGAGATTCTGGGCTTCCCTAGTGGTCCAATGGTAAAGAATACAGGAGACGTGGGTTTGATCCCTGATCAGGGAACTAAGATCCTACATGCCTCGGGGCAACTAAGCCCATGCATCACAACTACTGGGCCTGTGTACCTGGAGCCTGTGCTCTGCAACAAGAGAAGTCACCTTAATGAGAAGCCCTCACACTGTAACTAGAGAAAAGGATGCATCGCAGCAAAGACCCAGCACAGCAAAGAAAAAAGAAAGAGTGAGAGATTCTGGCTAAACTGACTGTAGCAGGATTTTTGCTAAAAATGGGCAATGCAAAGACAGGTATAAATCCAAAGATCAAGGCCTGATTGGGAAGAGGGTTCAGAGGAGACTAAAATTTGACCAAAGAGGGTCTGTCATATAACTAAGGCTCACTTACAATTGCCTTTGTTTTTAATATTTCCATCGAAATCTAGATATATTAATAAACTATGGGAACTTTCTATATTCATTGCTACAGATTATAGAAGGCTTGGACTTTTCTTGAAGCATCTAAGTGTGGGGCACTTCCCAGTTGAATTCATTTACATGTGTTTTTGATTTATCTACTGTGTGCTAGGGACCCTCTCAACTCCAGGGATGGAGCAGTATATGAGGTGGGAAGAACTGATCTTGGGAGGCTGTGGGGTGGCCTCGGCTGTGATGGCTTGAAGCAGGAATCTTGGTTCCCCTACCAGGGTTTGAATCTGGGCTGCCGTGCTCTCTGGTTCTTGTCTGCTTTGAAGAATTCAGCAAAAAGATGAAAAGTAGTGAGACAACTAAAATGTTTATTAAGAGAGAGTATATGTGCAGAGGAAGCATGGGCTGGCTCAGAGAGAGAGAGAGAGAGAGTCCTGTGCTTTGGGAGGCAGTTCTGGGTTTCCTCTGGCCAGTCATCTTGCTGTGTCTGGCTTTAAATCCATAATTGATCTGGCTAAGGGCCCTCTGATGTGTGCACGTGCATCTTTTGGCCAAGACAGATTCCAGCGCAGAGGTCTCAGGGAAGTTGACAGAACATATTATGGTCTAGCACCCCCTCTCCTAAGGATCCTTTCTTTGCATGCATAGTTTGGGGGTCTCTGACCTCAAGAAAGAGTAATATGCGGTCTCTTTATCTTTAATCCAAGCAGGACTCCGCTCCCTCTTGCTCCTGCCATTATCTTTATCTTGAAATATCTGTTCTCAGGAGACAGATTCCAGCTGCTCAGTCTGGGGCCCATACATCTCCTGCCTCAGGGCCTGATCATTCAGATCCAGGACAGGCCCAAGGACTCAGGTTACCTGGTCCTCTTCCTGATTAAAAGACTCAGTCTTTTGTTATATTATCCGTAAGTGAAGTTTTTCTTTCATGAATTGTCATTTTTCCATATCAAAAACAGGTTTCCATGAATACACTTAGATATTAATGCATCATTAACCAATCAGATTCCCTGAAAACCTGGGACCTCCCAGCCAACACTTTCAGTGGAGAAATTTCATTTCTAAAATTGGTAGCAAAGCTTTCTTAGATCCTCAAACATCATCAACCTGAAATAATGGCCTGGAGCAGAATATTTGACTCCTGTTGATAGATAGCCTTTGTTTATGTGGATTCGTTTCGGCAGCCTCATTATCAGTCTGGACATTTTATTTCCCAGTTTGCAAATATATATGGGTTTCAGCCTCAGGGAAAATAACATCCTCTGTTTTTATGGAAAGCCGTAATGTCTTGTAGCAATACGGGGTGATTTATTAGACTATATACTGTATGTCAGGATTAGCATTCCCTAAAACATATTTTTGTAATGGGTTTTTTTTTTAGCTTTATGTTTTCAAAAGATAATAAACCCATTTTGGCAACCATTGTAAAAGCATTGCCAAAGTTAATTAGGTTTTCAGACAGCAGGGGTCTGCCATTAAACAATTTATCTTTGCTTCTTTTCATGCTGCTTTAGCTTAGTTGGGAACTGCTCTATCTGTCCACCTCTGTTCAGCTGGACAATGTATAAACAGTCATAGGCCATTTCATTATTCAGGGGAAAGGTGTGTATATTCATAGGTCATCTCATTATTCAGAGAAAATGTTTGCATATATTCATAGGTCATTTCATTATTCAGGGAAATTGTGTATTTGTGATTAGACTGATAAATCTTGATTTACCACATGTGACTTCATGGCAGAAATATAAATAATATTATAAATTTCATAAGATCTCATAAATAACCTATTTTTTTCCACTCTTCATTATCACCCCACATGCAGTGAGATACCATATGTGCAAAATGTATAGTGAGCTGTAGAGATATGGGTTATCCTAATCAGTTAATTTTCTTCACAAGAGATTTTCCAGAGGTCACCTAAGTTAAGGATTAAAGGTTACCCCAGTGAAAGTTGGGTTGCCTTTTCTAGGAGGAAGAGGCAGCGTGTGGAAAGTCTTGGAAGGGTGCAAGAACAAGTGTGGGGTACGGAAGGCTATGCGTGGCCAGAGGACAGCATTGGGGAGCCCTGGGCCTCAGAGTGAGGCAGGGCCAGAGTAGACTAATGGCCACATGAGGCTCCTTAGAAAGGTGGCACGGAGCCGTGACAGCTAGGGTTGCCTCCTGTGTTGACCTCACTTGGTCTGTGAAGAAGGCAAGATTAGGCTGCAGGAAGGTCAAGGAGGAACCCACGCCATCTAGACAAAAGCTCTCTGAGCCAAAACCTACTCAGGGATGCAGGGATAGGAGAGAGGAGCAGAGCAGCCCAGGAGGGCACGTGGGCAAGGGCAGGGGAGGGAGAAATCGAGGTCAACCACCAATCTAGGCTTGGCTGCCTGGTAAGGTCGGTGTGGGGAACAGAGTGCGTGAGGCCAGCACTAACCCCTCACAGGGCTTGAGAATGATGGGCAGTCTGGGAGATGGCAGGGGCTCAGGCTGGCCTTACAGAGTGGGCGTTTTAGATGTAGGTGTCAGCAGGTGAGTAATCATGAGATTGGAATGTACTGTTATTGCGGGTGAGAAAGGGCATGGCTCACTTGGGATACTGCTTGTTGCAGTTGAAATCGTTGTGGACTTTTTCAGAGCACATTGACCGCTAACTCTGTGTTGTTTCTTTAGGAAGCCGTATCACTCTAAACTGGAGGCTTTTGTGAGTCACATGTCAAAAGGACCTGGAGCCTCTTTTGAAAGCCCCTTGCACTCGCTGCCTCTTTACTCCAGTCACCAGCTGTGTGAGATGGGAGAGCTCACGCAGACAGGTAAGTGCAATGACCATTCTTCCACTTCCTCTTCCACCCACTCCTGTGTGTGGTGGACGCATGCAGCGAGGCCTCGGGTGAGACGCTGTGGGCATGGGGGTGAGTCAGCACTGTACCTCTAGCAGCTGTGAGCCCACCAAGGTATCTCATTAAACATTTCTTTTTTAAAATATATTTATTATTTTTGGTTGCACTGGATCTTCATTGCTGTGTGCAGGCTTTCTCTAGTTGCAACAAGTGGGGGCTACTCTTCATTGCAGTGGTCGGGCTTCTCATTTCAGTGACTGTTCTCATGTGTGGGCTCAGTAGTTGTGGAGCACAGGCTTAGTTGGTCTGAGGCATGTGGGGTCTTCCCGGATCAAACAAGAATCAAACCCATGCCCCGTGCTTTGGCATGTGGATTCCTATCCACTGCTCCAACCAGGGAAGTCCCGTCTGATTTCTAAATATTAAAAATAGCCTTTTCTCCTATTATTAAAAATATATATATTCATGGAAGAGAAAGTAGGGATGACAATTAAGCAAAAGAAAGATGAATTTAAAGCACTCATAATCTCACCAAAGAAATTAATAACCTTTCTTCTTGTGTTAATATCTATGCAGTCGTGGGTATGCACGCACACACACACACACACACTCATTCTCACAGGTTGTATCTTCCTGAGCACTATTTTGTAGCCCACTTTTTCACTTAATAATATATTGTGATAATCTTTCCCTACCAATAAATGTTCATCAACAACATAATTTCTGATAGCTGCATATTCTTCCACTGTGGATAGGCCATGATGTAGGTAACCAGTCCCATGTTCTCAGATACTTCAGACAAAACAGCTAAAAGGTTTTAACGCCCCAGATCTGAGGGACATGCATATGGCAGAGCCCCACCATGCATGGAGTCTGCAAGTGTGTTCCTCACAAAAGCCATCTCTCCCTCTGCAGCCCTGTTTATACTGTTGTGCAGCCAGTTCACTGTCAGCATAGGTTGGTGAGTTAACTGTGGGTTGGGATGAGAAAGAACTGATGCCCCCGAGAGGTTTCAGCTTTCTACTTCTTCAGTCTGAGACCTCAGAGGACCTTTGTGTGGTCACTGGTCTTTCTGGAGGAATCAGGATGACCTATAGGCCATAGTCTGTTTCTTGATCCACCAGCATCTTAGGACCTCAGCTTTGACGGAAAGAAGGTCCATCAAACCCCATTGGTTTCCCCATGTTTTGAAAACTGTTATTACTGGGGAGAAGATAGTAAGTGACCAGGTGGGGCAAGATGAAGGCTCTGGAGGACTAGCCTTGAATAAGGAGTTTTGTCAAAAGCTTTTGCTAATTAGTTCCACATACACAAGCTCTGCATCAGTTTAAAACAGGAGTCCTGGGATTTCCCTTGTGGAACATGGCTAAGACTCTGTGCTCCCAATGCAGGGAGCCCAGGTTCAGTCCCTGAACAGGGAATTCTATCCCACATGCCACAACTGAAGATCTTGTATGCCGCAACTAAGACCTGGAGCAGCCAAATGAATAAATATTTTAAAAACAAATAAATAAAAATAGGAGGCCTCCTCCTACCAGAACCAGAGCCCCCTTTTATTAACAAGTATTTTGTGGTGCTCCCTGAACTATCCCAAAGTGAAATTCAAATATAACCATTCTATATACATAATTTTACAAAACAGTTGTATCAGGTATCCTACCTGTAATATGAAGTAGAAACAAAAGGAAATGATTTTATTATGTAATTCTATATATCTCAGCACAAATGTTTGAGGACACCTTTGTTAGAAAAGAAAATGAAGTAATCAATTGCTTGCACATAAGTGTAGATGGGTGTGGTGACAGCTACAAATGCAGAATGATCAAAGGATGTGCACTGATGACTCTCAATACCCCATATATCAGGACATGATTTATTTGACAAATGTGATCAAAACAAAAGACAGATGCCCCTTAATTTATTTCTGGAAAATTCAGTAGATGTTAATGTTATACAAAAATGGCTATATGTCTGTAGACACAAAAAAACAGTTTTGAAATTGAAGTATTAAAACTTCAAGGGTTAAAGTATTAAAACTTGAAGGATTTTCACATATGGGAATGTCTTGTACTTCAAAAGTTATTCGGAACAGAGAACAGTTCCTTGTGAAGACTGTCCAGTCCTTGGCCCCCACACACAAGGGGTCAGCAGTGTTCCTCCCCGTGTTACTGTGACAACCCAAACCCTCCCTGAGGGCAGAACTGTGCTCGCTGAGAACCACTGGTGGTGAGTAACAGAAACCAACTCAAGCCCCCCCAAAAAAGGACATTTATTATAAAGACTGAGGATGACTCACAGACTCTAAGGGCAAGAATATGACTAGGCCTCCAGAGACTGGTCCCAGCGATAAAAAAGCTGTCTGTCCCTGCCGCTATGGTTTTGCTGTGTGTCTGTCAACGGAGACAGTCCTGGCCACATGTAGAGATGAACTTATACATTCAGGTTCTTGAGAGAATCTGATGGTGTCCTTGAGGGTCAGTGTCCATCAACTGGCTGGGAGGTCAGGGTAATTGCATCAAATAGTTTATTCATCCCCATCTTTCTTTCCGATTGACCTATCATCATTGTTTTTAAAATTAGCCTTACCCTAGAAATCTTATTTGTGGTAGTTTGCTCCTATTCCCTTGGTCTCTTTTAATGGTCACTTTTATCTCCTATTTGAAATTTTGCATCGCTGTTAGAATAATCATAATCGCACACTTTGGGGACCTCACAGGAACCATGTAAGATGCAGTTGATCATTAGTGTCTACTCCGTCCCAGGGGCTTTAGCAGCTGCCGTGTGTAGGGGAGGACGGCAACTGGATGGCACAGCACATGGAAGCCTCTGAGGGTGCTGCTGCAAGCTGCAGGTTCTGACAGAAGAACACAGGCTTTGGAGTAAACAGACCTGTGAAGTGGGGCGTGTAACATATTCCCGACAGAGCTGGTGGCAAGTTGCATTGATACACACATTGATAGTGTGTGTGAAGTGCTGAGCACAGTTCTAGCACATGCTAGGCTCGGCAGATGCAGTGAATGCCTAAGTCCAGCAGTCTGTGTGAACAGGAGGGAATGATTAATTCCACCTGGGGGAGAAAGAGAAGGACAGAAAGGAATTAGAGTATTGGAGTCAGGATGAGCATTTCACTGGGAGAGAAAGGGAAGGGCAGGAACCAGGTTGTGAAGATGCGAGTTGTGTTTGGAGAGGAGGAGACACCCTGAATGGGTAATATTTCGGCCTGAACATGTAGGGAGGAGGTGACGTGAGCCAGGACTAAGAGCACAGGTTGGGCCCAGATGGGAGCTGGAGTTCTGGCTCGGCCATATCTTAACTGTGAATGGCTTGGGCCTCAGTTTCCTTTTGCTTTCTTTGTTGGCTTTTTGTGAGGGTTAAAGGAGAAAGGTCTGGTGCACAGTAAGCATAGGTGGCCTCAGAATGCCAGGTGGGCCCAGAAGGAACTGGGGGCCAGACACAGATTCTGGGTGTTGGCCCCTCTGTGCAAGTCATTTGGAAATGCTAAGACCTGTCCCAGCACAGATCTCTGAGGGGACTCTGCTCTCAATACTCTTCATTCAGAGTAGGACCTAGATAGCCTTCATGTGTTTTTTTTTTCTCTCCCTGAGCTGTTCCCCTTCCTGGGCCAACATGGTTCCCTCTGTCCCACCCACACATTTCAGCCTGAAGTTGTCTTCTCTTTGTGGTTGGGCTTTGCAAACCAGTTGGGCATCTGCATAAGTGGCATCACAGGTCACAGGGCCTGCCCAAGGTTTACACTCCCAGGGAACTCAGATCTCACACTTAAAGGCCATCCCAACATCCTGTTGGCTGGAGGGTGAGCTTGCTCTTATCTTGGATTGCCTTCTCCTACTTGAAGATAAGGCTTTTTCAGTGTTTGTTTTTGTTTTGTTTTTAATTGTATTGTGGCATAGTTCCTGTGTGTAGTTCAAAACTGTAACTATTAAAGGAAAACTTAAAAATCATGCTTCTATCCCTGTTCTATCACCCCCCCCCATTTCTGTGCCCCTGTCACCCCCAGATAACCATGGTGTGCCCTTCCAAAGTTTCTTTACACAAAACACAGGCAGCTGCCTATACACGTTCTTATTTTTCCCCTCATTTTTATTTAAAAGGAGCATAGTAAACACACTGTTCTGCAATTTGCTTTTTCCCCCCAAATATTCCATCGAGGTACCTGGGAGATCATTCCATATCTTGCTGATGGGCAGGTTAAAGGGCAGGACTGGGCAGAATGGACCCAGAAAGTGAGCAGAGAGCCTTGGGCTGGGGGAGTAGGGAGTGTGGCATGAAGGAGGGAACTGGGCAGCCAGGATATGACTTGTTCTCCTTGCCTGACTGATTTCTGTAAGCTCCCAGGCACTCTGAGGAATGATTTGTCCCTGGGCAGGAGGGAGAAAGCTCTCCTTAGGCTCCGTTACCTCCTGCACCTCCACCAGCAGGCTGGGTTTACCTCTGAGCCCCACCAGTCACAGCCCTCCTCCAGAGGAGAGATAGAGGCAGACAGATGGAAAGGCATGGGTTCCGAGGACAGGGCCCCACTCTACTCATCCCTTTGTGCGTGATCCCTTCACGTGCTGGTGGGAGCCCCTTCTAGAGGGTCCCTTGCAGTGGGGGCCAGGCTCGAGGATGTAACCATAGTGTCTGAAGCCTTCCAGCACTGGGCGAGCCTCGGCTCCCCTGGCTGGCCCTTTCACTGAGCTGGTGGTGAGGCAAGCGTGTGGCGCTCTTGTGTTTCAGGGGTCGTGCAGCACCTGCAGAACGGCCAGCTGCTGAGGGACATCTACCTGAAGAAACACAAGCTCCTGCCGAGTGACTGGGCTGCGGAGCAGCTTCACTTGGAGACCACCGGCAAGAGCCGGACGCTGCAGAGTGGGCTGGCTCTGCTCTATGGCTTTCTGCCGGATTTTGACTGGAAGAAGGTTTATTTTAGGCACCAGCCCAGTGCTCTTTTCTGCTCTGGGAACTGCTACTGCCCACTGAGGAACCAGTACCTGGAGAAGGAACAGCGTCGGCAGTACCTATTACGTTTGAATAACAGGCAGCTAGAAAGGACCTACGAGGAGATGGCCCGGATCGTGGACATCCCCACCAAGCAGCTCCGGGCTGCCAACCCCATAGACTCCCTGCTCTGCCTCTTCTGCCACAACGTCAGCTTCCCCTGCACCAAGAATGGCTGTATCACCATGGACCACTTCAAGGTGATCAAGACGCATCAGATAGAGGATGAGAGAGAGAGGCAGGAGAAGAAGCTGTACCTGGGGTACGCGCTCCTGGGCGCCCACCCTATCCTGAACCAAACTGTCGGCCGCATGCAGCACACAGCAGAGGGCAGGAAGGAAGGGCTTTTCACTCTCTACTCTGCTCATGACGTTACTCTGGCCCCGATTCTCAGTGCCTTGGGCCTTACGGGAGCCAGGTTCCCGCGGTTTGCGGCCAGGTTGGTCTTTGAGCTCTGGCAGGACAGGGAGAAGCCCCGTGAACACTCCGTCCGGATCCTCTATGATGGTGTTGACATCACATTCCACACTTCATTCTGCCAGGACCACCACAGGCGGTCTCCCAAGCCCATGTGTCCCCTCGAAAATTTAGTCCGCTTCATCAAAAAGGACATGTTTGTGGCCCTGGGTGGTGGTAGTACCAATTATTATGAAGCATGTCACAAGGAAGGATTCTAAAAGGTACACGATGCAGCGCCGAGAATCTATGCCAATTCGAAGGGATGGGGAAGGTCCGCTTCTAGTTCTGTCGGCTGCTAAAGGTACAAGGTACTTTTTAAAGGCCGGAAATCATGCTTGGGGCCCACATGGATTTGGTGTTGAACAGGGAGTATGTTGCTGTAATTGGGTACATGAGTAACTTGGTACACAGTGGTCAGTTCACAGAGAAAGGAAGGTACTTTATCCCAGCTAGACTTTGCTTGGATGCCAGAATAATATTTCAGTGCCCAAAGTTGCCAATTCAAATGTGTATTCTTTTGATCTGCCTTGGTACTGTGTGATGGAACCAGCAAACCTCAGCCAAACCTCCTCTTCATCTGGGACAACCTCACCTTGTCCTTGTTCAGTGAATGGTTTCTTGAAGTGATTCATTTAAAACAGGGGTGGGCAAACTTTTTCCATAAAGGGCCAGATAGTAAATATAGACTCTGGACCAAAAGGCCACCTATAGCACCTGTCACAGCTGCCCGACTCTGCTCTTGTAACATGAAGGCAACCACAGATGACCCATGAATGAGTTAAGCGTGGCTGTCACAGGCCACACAAAAGAGGCAGTGGGTCAGCTATAGTCTGAGGGCTGTAGCTTGCTGACCCCCATTCTAAGAAACAGGCTGTACTACAATTGCACTTTCAGCACTTTTTGAGAGAACCAGTTGAATACCCAGAATTATTCAGTGGTGCCTCCAGTAACTTCTGCTAGAAACACAGAATCTGGTCTGTATCTGACATTATAACAAAACTTGAGGGGAAACAAACATTGAATCAGAATGAATCATAAAAAAATTATTAGAATAATACTTGATGTTCATGATGATTGTGGTATAAGATAGTTTTGAGTATGTCTTCAATATTTGTCTGCTGTAGTCTATTTGCTGTACATGCTGAAATTTTTGTATTCCATTTAGTATTTTTATAGTCTAGGAAAATATTTTCTAAGATCAGTTATAGATGTGCTCTTATTCCTATGAAATATTCAATTTACTGTATCTGCTTGGTGGTTAGAAGGGAACCAGAAGCTGAATTCAGGCACTTTCTCCCAATAAAACTAATGATGGCTCATTCCCTTTGACAAGCAGTAGAATTGGATCAATTTTTAAACCATTTTCGTCAATTTCAAATGGTAAATTCAGATTGATTTTTAAATAAGTTTTTGGAAGAACTTTGTTACTAGATAGTTAAATAATCTTTATAAGGTATTTTATACATTAGAAGCAATTATAATTAAATCTGTGATTTCTGCCTAAAATGGTGCTAGTTCTGTGCAAAAAAATGTAAAGTGAGATTCTCTAATGTCGTTGCCATTCCAGCCTTTTTTGTCTGTTTTTGTCCAGTGTTTCATTTGAATACATCTGTTTCTATTAATAAATTTTTGAAGAATACTCATACATGTAACTCATGGTTTGTACCTATGTCACTCTGTTTCTTTTCAAGTGAGTTTTAATTGTTTTATCTTTTAATAAATAAAAGCATTTTAAATTAGAAAACTCTACAGTACACATGGGGAAGGGAGGCCCAGTGTGACTAGCAATAGGCCAAGCCGGGCCTGCTAGGGTGACCAGGAGGGACAGAGTCCTACCCTGGGCCACAGAGGGGCTACAGCTTCCTTCTCTGACAGCAGCATCAGGATTTGGTGGTCAAGGGTGTGTCACAGCTGGTGGCCTTGGACTGGGTGATAGTTATCTCAAAGTCTTCTTTTATTGCTGAAAATCATGTGTTGTTGTTGTTCAGTCAATAAGTCATGTTCAACTCTTTGTGACCCCATGGACTGCAGCACACCAGGCTTCCCTGTCTGACTTCACTATCTCCCAGAGCTTGCTCAAACTCATGTCCCTGGAGTCAGTGATGCCATCCAACCATCTCATCCTCTGTCATCCCCTGCTCCTCCTGCCCTCAATCTTTCTCAGCATCAGGGTCTTTTCCAGTAAGTCGGCTCTTATCAGGTGGCCAAAGTACTGGAGCTTCAGCTTCAGCATCAGTCCTTCCAATAAATACTCAGGGTTGATTTCCTTTAGGATTGACTGGTTTGATCTCCTTGCTGTGTGTTGTCTCTTGAATATTTAAAGCCTATGCAAGTTTTTTTTTTTTGCTCCCACTTGCAATCTATCTGAATCAGAACTGCTAAACACACCTTGAAGATTTTAAAGTAAAGGTGAATCAGAAGATATTTTAAAAATCAATTTTGCAACATCTGTTTTGGTAAAGGTGGATATTTTGCATAAAAGCCAATATTAAAAGTGCAGAGGTTTTGCCTCCTAAGACACTGGGTATGCATGGCATTAAACTATCCTCCTCATTATCTAGTTCTGACCCATTTCCTTTCTATAAACAAACACTGAGCACCCAGCTGAGGGTGCTGGAGCTTGTCCTTGGTTTCAGGGCAATGGTCTCAATGACTTAGATTATGGCAAGTGTGGGTGTGCATACTGCATATTCAGCTTTGTTGTTTTCATGATTAAAATTAATACATGCACATTGGGAAACAGTCAAACAATACTAAAAACAACTTCAAAGGTGAAGTTCTCTAATCCTACCTCCAGAGAGAACACAATGAGCCGCTTGAAAAATATTCTTCCAGGAATTTAACTTGCAGATACATATATATATATAACTTTTAAATGGGAACAAGATTATTCAACTTATATTGTCCTGTGACTTCCTTCCTTCAAAATATATTTTGTTTCCTTTAACAGTATGTCTTAGACATATTTCTCATTAACTTGCTTCTCTTAACAGTATGTCTTAGAGATTTCCACGTTGAGAGGAGAGGTGGGAGAAAGGAAGAAAGAGAAAGAAGGAAAGACAGCTCTTTTATAGCCATAGCATAATATTTCATGATTTCATGATATAGATGAGACATGCTTTTTAATATTTTTAAAGTAATTCCCTTTTTTCTTTCGAGATTTTACTAAAAGAATATTTATATAGTATTCCTGACACAACAAACATTTTAGCATTTTGACAGCCAGGTAGCTTTATAAAATCATTAGTCAACTGACTGAGTTTATCAATTTAATCTTTCCACAACAAATCGACCAGCTTTGAAAGTAGCTGGCAGGATTGAATAGCAATTGTATCATTGTGTTGATTCAGGATGCATATCCAGCTTTTCCTGACTGTCCAAAGTAAACATTTTTAAAAACAATTTTATTTACTTATGGCTGTGCTAGATCTTTGTTCCTGCGTGGGCTCCTCTCTCACTGTAGTGTGCAGGCTTCTCACTGCAGTGGCCTCTCTGGTTGCAGAGCACGGGCTCTAGGGCACTTGGGCTTCAGTAGCTGTGGCACATGGACTCAGCAGTTGCAGTTCGCAGGCTCTATAGCACAGGCTCAATAGTTACAGCACACGGGCTTGGCTGCCCCGTGGCATGTGGGAATCTTCTCAGATCAGGGATCAAACTCACATCTCCTGCACTGGCAGGCAGATTCTTTACCACTGAGCCATCAGGGAAACCCTAAAGTAAACATTTTAATCAAAGATATTGACCTTCAAATGGTAATGTTTAGAGCTATTGTGTTCATATAGTAGACACTGGCCATGGAAAGCTACCAGAAATGAGATGTGGTTCTTCTGAACTGGCATAAGACAATTGGTGAGACGTATTTTAATTTTTCATTAAAAATGAAATTAAAACATATGTCCAGAGCCCCCCTAGAAACTTCCTCGGGACCTAGAGACCTCCAGCCCTTCACCCTCCCTCTCCTGCCTGTGTCCCCTTACCTGCATGCTCGGTTGCTCAGTCGTGTCCGATTCTTTGTGACTCCATGGACTGTAGTCCATCAGACTCCTCTGTCCATGGGCTTTCCCAGGCAAGAATACTGGAGTGGGTTGCCATTTCTTCCTCCAGGGGATCTTCTCGACCCAGGGAATGAACCTACGTCTCCTGTGTTGGCAGGTGGATTCTTTACCATTGAGCCACATAGAGTTCAAGACCAGTTCTGTATCACTTTCCAGGTATAATGCCTCAGGCATTGGGTTCCTCATCTGAAAACCAGGATGACACCTCCCACGGGAGAGTACAGGTAAAACCCTGGGCAGCGTGGGTCATCCTCCCAATGAAGCCTCCATTACTGCCCCCCACTTACTCTTTCTTTTAACTGTGGTGAGTTACCAAAACCAGCCAGAACTAGAATATGTCCCTGCCCATTTTTTTAAGCCAGGAAGCCACCTGGAGGCACAGCATTATGCTCTAGGCATAACTGGGAGGTATAGCTCCCCAGGCTCATGCGCTTCCCTTTGGGGAAAAAAAGAACTCAATTCTTCTGAGTCCTGCCTTTGTGCTTTGATAAAAAGCACAAAGTGACACCTTATTATAAACATCTCAATGATTTCCCAAGGGAGATGAGGCTCATTGCTCATCCTTTCCTGTTTCCTTCATCATCTCTGTCTAATCCCCAGCTTCCTGCTTGAGTTAGAGTTGCTGCCCACTGCAGAAGCAGTAGCTGACCAAAGTTCAGCAAAGGAGTGGGATTCTGGAGGCTGAGGCCATGGGTCTGGCCCCTCTGTGGCCCCAAGAGGCACTGAAGAAAAAGCAGCCCAGGAGTGATGTGCATCTCAACAGGGGACTTCTTGCTCTCCGTGCCTCTACTTTAGGGAGCTGCACCCCTCCCTGTTACGGGGGCCCACCAGTGAGGCACTCCTCCAACTTCCCTCCTTCCCATGGCCCAGGAAAGGCAAGTCCTTCTGGTGGACTGCTAGCTGCTTTCTTCCAGCATGGAGCCGAGTGTGTCTTAGTTAGGCACTCCCCAAATGATAAATCCTTTCAGGATCCTTTCTTCAGAAACTGGTCAGAGACTGGGGCTCCCACAAATGCAAAGCTGCTTGTGCCAGTGAAGGGGTGCCACACTGCCCTCTAGTGGCAACTCAGCCTGCCCCTTGTTCGGCAGTTTTTCCTCTTTTTCCCTGCAAACAGTCAACTGAGAAGCGAGTTAGCACGTATGCACACGCAGATGAGGCCTCTTTCCCAGCAAGCTGAAGCTCCCTCTTGTGGCCTAGGAGTCAACTCTTCTCTCCACCTACCTACACTGTCTTCAAGATGTAACAAGAAGAGGCATTCTGTCTCCATATAGTCTCACCCCAACTGCCCTTTTATCTAACTGATGAACCAGCTGTTTGGCAGTCTCATAACTGGCTCCCTGATGGACAGACCATTAAATTGACCTTCTAAATGATGGATCCTGATGGACTGCTGTCCATCTGAAAAATTAATCCTGAGTACTGGCTGGTTGGCTGATTAACTTTCTAAGTCACAAATCATTTGATTGACCTACTGTCTTTTTTTTTTAATCTTTTTTTTTTTACTGCTCTGGGTCTTTGTTGCTGTGCACAGGCTTTCTCTAAGGGCTACTCTTCGTTGTGGTACGTGGGCTTCTCATTGTGATGGCTTCTCTTGTTGCAGAGCAAAGGCTCTAGGCACACCGGCTTAGTTGCTCTGCAGCATGTGGGATCTCCCTGAACGAGGGATTCAGTTCCAGTTCCCTGCATTGGCAGGCGGATTCTTAACCTCTGGACCACCAGGAAGTCCCAACCTACTGTCGTTCTAACTGAACTACTAAGCCTACAATTAAACACCTGAAAGCTTAAACTGTTTGCATCAGGTGGCCAAAGTATTGGAGCTTTAGCTTCATACTTTGGCCACCTGATGCAAATAGCCAACTTATTGGAAAAGATCATGATGCTGGGAAAGACTGAAGGCAAAAGGAGAAGGGGGCAACAGAGGATGAGATGGTTGGATAGCATCACTGATTCAATGGACGTGAACTTGGGCAAACTTCAGGACATAGCGAGGAACAGGGAGGCCTGGCATGCTAGTCCATGAGGTCACAAAGAGTCAGATACGACTTAGCAACTGAACAACCACCACCAAGCCTGAACTACCTGCCTGGCTGACTCTCCCACTAACCATTTAGTGTTTATGACTGACTGGCCAGCTGAGGTCTGGCAAGATGGAGGGCCGGGCTCCATCACTAAAGCTACAGTTGGGTGGGAGGAGAGACTGCCCCTTCCTCATACTCTGATTCCTCTTCGAACTTGGGGGCCTACTCTTCTCCCCTCTAGAGCCACCTGAAGACTCCAGAGGGGACAACCAGGAAACTGACCTTCTTATCTACCTCTACAGAGGTTCTTAACCAGGGCTTCATGGTGGGTTTCAATTTTGTTTTCCAGATAGTGTGGATACAAAGAGGTGTGTTATCTTGGAAGACGGGTCACAGCTTTCATTGGAATCTCCAAAGAATCCAGCACACACAAGTATCTTCAGAACTATAGCTCTGGGAAGATCCTCAGCAAACACATTCAGACAGGAAAAACTCTTAGCTAAATTCAAGCCCCATTTCTCTCTCACATCAGTCCAGGGTGGTGGGAAGATTAAGGTAGGAAGGGTAAGAGAGTCACAGTGGGCATGGGTGTGGTGGGGTGGAAGGATAAATGCTGTGTATGAAGTTTCCAGAGAGAGGCCCAAGGATATCAAGGTGTGTGCTTTCGCTTTGCAGGTTACATGGAGCCCAACATGCTGGGCACGCTCAGCTCTGGGCAGAGGGAGGGCTCCTTGAGCTGAGAGGAAGGATACATTTACTAGGGTCTTTGTCTGGGGTAGGGAGTATGGTGAGCATGTGGTTATGAGTAGCTATGTGTTTATTTACACACCCGTGTGCTCACAAGGGTGAGTATAACACAGCCGTGTGGTTCTTTGTGTCAGTATACATCTGAATAGTTTTGTGAATGTATTTTCACTTGTGTACTTACTCCTGGACCCCTCAAGTCTTTGGTGAGGGCGGGTGGGATGTATCCTTCCTCTCAGCTCAAAGAGCCCTCTGCCCAGAGCTGAGCGTGCCCTGCATGTTGGGCTCCATGTAACCTGCAAAGCAAAAGGACACACCTTGATATCCTTGGGCCTCTCTCTGGAAACTTCATACACAGCACTTATCCTTCCACCCCACCACACCCATGCCCACTGTGAATGAATCGAAACAGAATCTGAGTTAAGAATTTCACTAAGTGAGATAATCTACAGACCCGTCAGAGGCCCACATGAGAAGTCCCAGAATCCTCAACTCCTCTCTCTCCTTGAACCCCCCATCCTCCTCATCCCCTCAGTCCACTGCCACCATCGGATCCCATCGCCTCCCTCTGGACTACTACTCGGTCTTCAGTGCCCTTCCCTCGAGACCCCTCCGGATAGCAGCCACACTGCCCTTATTTTTCTGAAGTTGGAATGCCTAGGCAGAGCGCCCCACCGAAACCCACAACAGTTTTACACTGTCAGGGGATAACGCCCACCTCCATCCGTGTGACTCGGGGTCTTTTCACGACCGCGGCCCTCCTCGCTGGGCACTCTGCGCTCTTGAGGCCCTGTTCTTTAAATGCGTCGCCCTTGGGCCTGGTTCTATTCCGTACCCCCAAGCTTTGGCTCCCATGCCTCGTCCTCCCAGCCTTTACGCACTGCTCCTACACCTTGCATCTCGGCGATTATCACTTGCCGCTGTAATTGCCCGATTACAACTGGCAATTGTAATTGACAGAGGATCCAAGTCCGTCCGTCACGTTCCACTTGGGGACCCCTCCCCAGAGGACAAAGTCTGAGCCGCCGCAAGTTACAGGCCAGCCACACACGAGCTCACGTGTCTCTTTCCCGCCCGGCGAAGAATCTGAAGGCCAGGGAGGCGAAGACGAAAATGCGCGTGCGCAAAAGGACCAGTAGGAACTACGACTCCCAGAATCCTCCTGACAAGACTCCATTTCCCACAAGGCCGCGCGGGGCCCCACCCCGGAACTGCGCTCTTTTCAAGAAAGCGGAAGTTAGGGTGAGCCTGGTGGTGGAGTCGGTGCCTGAGAGGGTAGGAGAGGTTTTACGGATTGTCTACCTCCAGGGGTCGTCAGTGAGTCAGAAACCGGGACGTCGGAGGGAAAGGACCTGGCAACAGCCTTTCAGTGCATTATTCCGCTTTCCCTCTGGCGCGCACGATCAGACCCAAAGCCGCCGTACATTGCCACCGTTGCGTGCTCTGTCCCCACCTCTGGGCGACCCTGGGAGTAGAGGCCGATGGCTCGATGGCCTTCAGTTCAGTTCAGTTCGGTTCTGTCGCTCAGTCGTGTCCGACTCTTTGCGATCCCATGGACTGCAGCACGCCAGGCTTCCCTGTCCATCACCAACTCCCAGAGCTTGCTCAAACTCATGTCCATCGAGTAGATGATGCCATCCAACCATTTCACCTGCTATCGTCCGCTTCTCCTCCTGCCTTCAATCTTTCCCAGCATCAGGGTCTTTTCCAAGGAATCAGTTCTTCGCATCTGGTGGCAAAGTATTGGAGTTTCAGCTTCAGCATCAGTCCTTCCAATGGTCTTGGTCTAGGGTAAAGATTATTCGCAATGCTGCATTGCCTGTCTTGCACTGGGAAAAAGTGAAGACGTGGCTGTAAAGGGCATAACCCACATGGCTCCCCGTGTTGGTCTCATAACTTTGCTTTTTCTAGCAGTAACTGCAGGAATCGAAGCTGTGGGCTATGGGGACAGGTGTGGACAGTAGCATGGAGGGGAGAAATTTGTGGATCCTGACTTGCTGTTGTGGTTCCCAAGATGTTTCCAGTGGCCCCAGCCCTATGTCTACATAGGACGGTACAGTACATATCCTTAAATGCTTGGATTCTGTTCAAAGTCAGCCCCCTTCCTCAGACCCTCCAGTCCCAGCTTCATTCTCTGAGACCCCAGCAACACCTTATCTGGGCCCTGCTGCCTATTTTCATCTTGCTCGTCAGAAGCTACTTAGAGCATCCTGGCTAGAAATGGGAGCAGTTGGTAGGACTGGAATGAGAAAGAGGGTCTGGACATTTGGAGGAAAAGAAGAAAATAGAAGGAAAGGAGTGGACTAAGAAGGAACTGTGGACATTTAAGGGACTGACAGCTACTGAAGCAAAATGGGAGGGTTAGAGTATAGGTGAAAGGGAGTGAGAGGTCTCAAAAGACAACTATATGTATCCCTAATCAGGCAGATGAACACATTTTTCAGAGTTTCAAGCAAGATCATCTTCCTTTGGTGAAATACAAGGGTTTATCAGGATTACCTCATCATTGCTACTCGAAATTTTACACTGACTGGCTAAAGGTCACATTCCAGGGAGAGGCTGAAACTGCTGTTAGGTTAGGTATTAAGTCTTGGTTTGCTGACATGGGGCTTAGCACAAGTGACTGCATTTGGGGCCTGTTGTTTCTTCTATTAACAGAATGTCCTTAATGAAGTTTTAAAAAGGTGTTCCTTTTACTCAATTCTGTGTCCTTTTGTTATTCTGTGTGACAGAATGGGAACTATAATAAAGCAAGTCTGCTGCATCTCAAGATAACTATGTTCATCTTGAAAAAAGTGTTAGGTAGATACATGCTCAGTCTTTCAACCCCTGTACTGTTGTTTAAGAATGTGCTGTGGGCCCAGAACATTTCCTCACAAAGATACAAAGAGCTCTTACAGTCTGGGCTCGGCATATCCCTTTGTTTGGGAATATCTTTCCCTGTTCTGGACTGGATGTGTACTTCTTTGTTCTGCTTAACCGTGTGCATCACGTGACACCCAGATGACCCTACTGTTGTATCTGTTTGCAGCAGGGAGAGAATTGGGCCCTTTGCTTGCAGCACAAGAAGAGTGCATACAGATCTGCTGGCCATGGGGACTGTCATCAATGAAGCTGATCGTGCTCTTTCTCTTCACTGGTAAAGAGTAAAGCATTGTTCACACATTGCCCGTGTGAACTGTGTCTTCTTGCAACACCAGCACCTGCAACCATGGAGCAGGTTGACACCCTGGGGCTGATACTCTGGTGGCAGATGTTGTTGTACCAACTACTAGTCTCCATGCAGTGGGACTCCTCCCTTGGAGGTGGTAGTAACTGTCACTTGCTCAACTAAAAGCAATTCTGTGCTTGTTTGATTTGCTAGCTGAACTAGATTCTCTTTTAAAAAGCATCTCTTGTATTTGAATGACTGGACAACAGTGATTTTTTTGGACTTGGGTATTTAGTAGAAATTTTCTAGAAAATAGAAGTCAACTTGTCACTTCAAGAGAAGCAACTGAGATTATTGTTGACAATGATAAAATGTGGCCTTTCAAGCAAAAATTAGAATTTGAAAAACATATCTGCCATGTGAGTGTGTGTATGTATGTGTGCATGCACATGCTTAGTCACTCAGTCATGTCTGACTCTGTGACCCCATGGACTATAGCCTCTCCAGGCTTTCCTCCGGCCATGGAATTCTCTAGGCATGTATACTGAAGTGGGTAGCCATTCCCTTGTCCAGGGGATCTTCCCCACCCAGGGATCAAGCTCAGGTCTTCTGCATTATAGGTGGATGCTTTACCACCTGAGCCACCAGGGAAACCCATGCTGTGCTGTGCTTAATCACTCAGTTGTGTTTGACTCTTTGTGACCCCATGGACTATAGTCCCCCAGGCTCCTCTGTCCCAGGCTCCTGAGAATTCTCCAGGAAAGAATATTTGAGTGGGTTGCCATGCCCTCCTCCAGGGGATCTTCCCAACCCAGGTCTCCCACATTGCAGGCAGGTTCTTTACCATCTGAGCCACCAGGGAAGCCCAAGAATACTGGAGGGGATAGCCTATCCCTTCTGCAGGGGAACTTTCTGACCCAGGGATTGAACCAGGGTCTCCTGCACTGCAGGGGGATTCTTTACCAGCTGAGCTACCAGGGAAGCCCAGGGAAACCCATACTACCATGTAAATATCTTGACAGCTTTACATGCTTAAAATATTCTTCTGATGAACTTGGTGGTGAAGTTAGTGAATGTGATTTCAAAAATATGTCAAATAATGAAATGTGTGTCAACATTTGGAAATCTGCAAAGCTCAGTATATTAGTATCTTTTGTTGAATAACAGATTATTCCAAAACAGTGATTTAAAACAAGAAAATTTATTATCTTTTGATTTCTGTGGGTCAAAAATTTGGGAGTAACTTATGTAGGTGGTTCTAACTTTGGGTTTCACTCACCCACACATTGCTGTCAAGATGTCTGTCTCTTGAGGCTGCAGTCGTCTGAAAGCCTGACTGGAGCTACAGTATCTGCTTCCAGGATGGTACACTCACATGGCTGGTGGCAGGAGACTGGGTATCTCACCCCATGTACCTTTCCATAGGACTTTGAGTATACACAGCATGGCAACTAGCTTCCCCCAGAGCAAGTGACCCAAGATCAAGGGAGCAAGATAAAAGCATCAATGTCTTTTATGATCTATCCTCATAAGTCACATTCTATAATTTTTACCACATTCTATTCTTTAGAAGTGAATCATGTGTAAAGTCCCCCTCAAGAAGGGGGAAATTAAGTTCTACTTCCTAAAGGGAAGAGGACCTAATACATGGACATATTTTAATAGCACTACATTTAGTGACCCAATATTTTCCAAATGCCCAATACATGATGTCACAAAACTACGATGCATGGGTTGAAAAAAAAAACAAAAAGCTATTCCACTTGCAAGATAGCCCAATGGATTTTTAATGTCACAGAGTATGAAGAGTTCATTGATGCAATTTTAGATTCCACATTGCTACTAACCTTTAAGAAGCTGTCATATGTTGGGTTTTGGCATGATATCAAATAAAATGGGGCTTCCCAGGTGGCACTAGTGGTAAAGAACCCACCCACCTGCAATCCAGGAGATGTAGCGACGTTTTTGATCCCTGGATCAGGAAGATCCCTTGGAGGAGGGCATGGCAACCCACTCCAGTATTCTTGCCTGGCAAATCCCATGGACAGTGGAGCCTGGTGGGCTACAGTCTATAGGGTCAGAAAGAGTTGGACATGACTGAAGCGACTTAGCATGCAAATAAGAATATCCAAAATTACCTGAAAAGGCTATTAAAATTCTCCCCTCATTTCCAACTACTTACCTCTGTGAGGTCAAATTTTCTTCATATACTTCACCCAAAAAAATATTAGAACCGACTGGAATGATGAAGCAAGTATGAGAATTCAGCTGTCTTCTATTAAGCCAGACAGAGTTGCAAAAATGTAAAGTACTAATTACTAGTAAAGTACTAATTACTTTTTGTTTTGGAAAGTATTTTTTTCTTAAAAAGTGTAAGTGTGTTCATTAACAAGTATTGGATTTATTATTGTAATTTTAAATGAAATATTTTAAAAGTTTCTTAGTTTCAATTTCTGATATGGTCCTGATGGATAGATATAATCCACATTAACAAAAGCTCTTTGGTATCCTCAATAATTTTTAAGAATGGAAAGGGGTTCTGAGACCAAAAAGTTTGAAAACTACTGTCTAAGCAATCACAAACATCCTGTCACCCTTGAAATGACATGTTTAGGCTTGCAGTGCAGTTCTGGCCAGTGACATATGAAGTGAGGTGTAGGCATTGTGTTCAGTTTTCAGTTTGGAGTATTAAACAGAAATGTGCATATGGTCTTCAAAGGGCTTGGTAATGTTCTGTTTCTTATGCTAGCTGATTGATATGTGATGTTTATTCACCTTCTTTATCTCTTACATATTAAATTTTTTGTATGTGGAATATTTTATTACAAAAATTGAACACATGGAAGAGAAGATTCCTCTTCCTCTATGTAAGCATTTTTTCTGTTTTGCAGCATATTCATCTGTCGTATTGGACCCAAGTGTGCACTGTTGGACTCTAAAGAATGTTATGCTCATGGCTCTCTGAGTCTGTGTCAACAACATATTTGTGATATTTGACTTGTAACCTGAGAGTCCCCCGACCTCTTGCCACATATGCAGTCTCTCCATTCACAAGGCTGTCAGTTCAAGTTGTACAAAGCCCCTCATGAAAAGACCTTCCCTTCTCTGGGTTGGTCCCTTCTCCCCTAAGATCAAGCAGGATAGCAGTGCCTGTCATGCATCACATCTTTGCTAAGTTCCCTCACCTAAAGCCCATACAAGAATAGATATCAACTAGGTTTGCTGGCTCACCAGTTCTGTAAACTGCCACACACTGAATCCACTTTAGACCCCTTTCAGAACTTGTATGAGCACCTTCTAAATGGAACCCACAACAGGTACAAAGGCAGGCTCACTACACTGTCACTGAGTGAGTGGACCTGCTCCCATATCACACTGAGGACCTGGGGCTATGAAACCATGTTTCTGGGTTTCTCCTACCCCTCTTCTTAATGTTACTTTCTCAGAAATTCATAAACCAAGTAGAAAACTAAAGAATTATATAATCCAATTAACAGATTTGAGGGGATACCTGAACAAAATCTGGGCTTGGCTATCATGGGTGAGGGGGGAATGCCTGTTGGCAAGCACAAAAATGTTTGCTACAGTTGTGCACACATATATGTGTATTTTAAGTCTTTCCACAATAAAATGAATTGCTGTGTAACTAAAAGAAATGAGAAAAGGCAATGAATATGAAAGGAAATAGACATATAAAACAAATAAATGCAGTCACATTTTGTGGTATTGAGATATATGTTGGTAGAAGAAGCGGACTCATTTGCTGAAACCCAATTTACTGATCCATACACCATATTTACTTGCTGTTTTTGCTGTTTATGAAGTTTACAACAATTCTTACTGGATGGAATTTTTAAAACAACCTTTGAACATTTCTGCAAAATCTTAGTTGTTCAGAATTCCATTATAATGGCATGACAGCATTTTAAGGGCTATTCAGTCTATTGTAGCCCAGTTAGTTAGAAGAGAGGAACATCTAAGAGAAAATATTCATGACAATATATAAAAGATAAAAGACAGAGCACAAATATATAAATCAATAAGAAAAAGGCAACCAAACTGAAAAATGGACAAAGAATATGAACAGGCAGTTCACAGATTCAGAAATACAGTTGGGGGCTTCCCTGGTGGCTCAGTGGTAAAGAATCTGCCTGCCAATTCAAGAGACAAGTTCAATCCCTGGTACAGGAAAGATCCCACATGCTTCAGAGCACCTAAGCATGTGTGCAACAACTACTGAGTTTGTGCTCTAGAGCTCGGGAACCACAACTGCTGAGCCCACACATCCTAGAGCCTGTGCTCTGCAACAAGAGGAGTCAACAGTAGTAAGACGCCTGTGCACCGCAACTAGAGAAAGCCCTTGTGTAGCAACAAAGACCCAGTGCAGCCAAAAAATAAAAAATCACCATTAAAAAGTCTATGTTGACTCAAAAAACAATCTTATGATTGCCAAGAGGAAGGGATAGTTAGGGAGTTTGGGAAGGTCATGTACATATTGCTTTATTCAAAATGGATAACCAACAAGGACCTATTGTAGAGCACATGGAACTCTCCTCAATGTTATGTGCCAGCCTTGTTGGGAATGGGAGTTCAGGGGAGAAGAGATATATGTATGTGTATGACTGGGTCCCTTTGCTGGTCACCTGAAACTACCACAACATTGTTATTTGGCTATACCCCAATAAAAAATAAAAAGTTTAAGTTTGGCCAGGAGGGTGGGGGGGAGTTTGTATTTCCTTTGGGGTGGTAGGGGGAGCTAGGATAGAGTGGGCGGGGCTAGGGAATGATGTAGTGAGAGTGAATCAAGGACTGGAGTGTAAGGTGAAGGATCAGTGGGATTGGGGGTGATTTGGCCAGGCTGGGATTGATGAGTGAAAGGGAAAGGGCAGAGGGTTTGGAGAAACCAAAAAGTGCTTGAAAGGACTGAGGGAAGTGAGAACAAACGGCAGTGGGAGAACTGAGACAGATTAGAAACAAGTGAAGAAACTTGATGAGAGGGAGGGGAAGGGGGTGGGCCTGTCAGCAACTAGGAAGGTAAAATGGAAACAACTGGCTTTCAGTGAACTGACCTAGAGCCACTGGCAAACAGGACCTGTTAACACTAAGCAAGGCCGGGCAGAAGAAGGTTTGAAGCAAACAGGAAACACTAATTTTCAGAATGCTACTAACTGTGCCTTGCAGAGTTCTTTTACTTCCTCTTGTCTTGGCTCTCTTACTACATTGTAGTTTGCCTCTAAAGCAATCGAGATTTTCGAAGACGCCTTTGTTTGATGGTCAAAGGTTTGACTCTTTCCCATGTGATCCTAAGGTAAAAATAGGGTACAGCTGCCTCTAGTAGAAACTTCCTCTGTCACTCTTAAAACTTGGGAAGTTGCTTCAGATCCTAGGAGGACATGAACCATGTCTCTCTGCAACAAGGTGTAGGTATGCATAAGGGCGTGCAGACCCTAAGACTCTTTCTCTTCTCTCTTGGTTTGAGGCAGGCATGGTTTTAGGAAGTAGAAGACCCTGTGGTCACTGGCTTTCTCTGTGGTTCGTGCCATTTTCCACACAGTGAATTGCAGGGCAACCAGAAAGCAAAAATCTTCCAGCAGTGGAGCAGTGGGGTATGGGCTGATTCATAACCCCCTGATTTCATATGTTAAAGCCCTAACATCTGTTGCTTCATAATGTGACTGTACATTTGGAAATGGGACCTTGAAAAAGGTTATTAAGTTAAATGAGGCCATTAGAGTGGGTCCTAATCCAATCTGACTGGTTTTATAAAAAGAGTAAATTTGGGGACACATGAGACACACCAGGATTGTGCACACACAGAGAAAAGGACACAGCAAGAAGGTGGCCATCTGGAGGCCTGAGTAGAGACGGTCTTGAATCTAAAGATGTGGATGGTGAACATGGCCTCGTTAGGCTGAGTGAATGAAAGAAGGAAGAGACAACCTCAGACGAGGGAAAGGATGAGGGAGTAGGTGACATCTTGCTCCACTGGAAGGCCCCTCTGCAGAAACCAGCCACACTCAGCAGATTTCAGTTTCTTGTTTATTTATTTTTTATTGAAGTAAAGTTGAATTACAGTGTTGTTTTAATTACTGCTGTACCAGCAAAGTGACTCAGTTATACATACATGTACATTCTTTTTCATTTTCTTTTCCATTATGGTTTAT